ATCTTGCAGTGTAAATATTCAGATTGTCTGATTCTGATTCAAAAGGCTGATAGTACATTGTGGATAGAGCTACAGTAATAAGCGATGCAGTACATATGAAACCTTGCAATTGCTTGGTCACACCACTGCTGTCAGACATGCCTCCAATAGAGGGAGCTCTGGAGAGCCATTCGACTGTATTTGGCCTACTCTTCCACGCATGGCTAGACGCCTTGGCAGAGGTGGGATGACTGTGATTGTAATCATTTATACTACTGGGTGGAGAGATATGAATTCAAAAGGGTGAATTAAGAAACCTCCACCATTGTTTCAACAGATTTGCCAGTGTTCATTAATTAATACGAAACTAAACAAATAAATGATTTGGAGAGAGAGAGAGGTGCCGGTCATCATCGGTAGGAGTGTAGAAATCGTAGTCATTGCGATGCCTTTTAACCTCGGCCACAGCGTGCGGTTTAGATCGATGACAGTCTGGGGTTACACGAGGTGGCAGCATCCAAGTGAAGAAGGGCACATCAGAGAACACAGGTGCCAAGTTCCCTGGCCATAACTCCATCGCCACGCTTCCACGCCCGCCCGCACGCACTCCATAGCACCGTGGAGTATGGTTAAAGGAACGGTGCAAACATTGCGTTGCATGAATGTGACGTGTGTTACTTTTGTACATTCGCAAGAACCGGTAACATTTTTGGAGGATGGGAGCGTGGGGAGAAACATGTCTTTTTCATTATTGCTTTTTTGAGCCTCGTGTAGAATGCGCGTGTAAGTCAATGGCAAGCCATGTTTATCGTCCGTTCGACTGCAATAATTCCAAAGTGCTCTTTAGAAACCAACAAGAATGCGTTCTGTGTTTGACTCAAGCTCACCAAATGCAACATAACGCACACATCTAATTTATATACACTTTATATACACTTCCCTTCGGAGGCCAATCATGCCACGTAAATTTGGGGCAGCACTTGCTGCCATCATATGGTCCCTACCCAGACAGCAGTTAATGAAGTTTATGGCAATTACGTATTTTTTGCACGTGAAACGGGGCTGTGACTAAAGCTCGTTGTGTAGTTAACACGATATTTAAAGTTACTTACAATTATTCAAGCGCGCGTTGTGATGTGATAAAATCATTACTTGCAAAAATGCAACACTTTGCACCATTACAGGAAGCACAAGATTTGTTATGGGACATTTTTCAAGTGTAAAATTATGTTGTTGCTAATTTATTGCTAATTTGCGTGATGAGCGAGTGTTAAGTTATGCTGAAAGAATCGTGACACATTAGTGTGAATAATTTAACACTAAAATAACGTCAAATTGTTATTCAAATAAAAGCAAAAAAAATAATAACGAGCGCATCTCATCCCGTAATTGTACAACGGGGCATATTTTCACAAGCTCCTATCATTTTTTTCCCCTTCTTCTTCACATTCGTCGTAAAGGACGGTGAATTATTGATTTCCTCAATACACACTTTTAACAACGAGACTCGACTCGGACTAGAAGGGAGTTGCCGACAGGGCCGCCTGTCAAAGCGGATAAAGGCGCCGAGTCTGCGGGGGAAAGTCAAAGAGGCCTGACATCACTAAACACCGCATCTTAACCGTTTAAGTGCTTGCTATTTCTTGACAGTACCGGAGGAGGTGGTGTGGGTGGGTGCTTGCTTGCAGCGCCGTGGTGCCAACAACCTCGTGCCGATGAACCGGAAACTCGAGGCGATGCAAAATTTATCAGCGCACCCCCCCCTCCACCCCCAATCCCTTCAGCAAGGGAAAACATCGTCTTGCTTTTTTGCCGAAGTTTTCTGGGCATTGTCATCGCCGGCAGGCAGGCGAAGGCTAGGCCCGACGCTGCGTGGCGTGAACGCACGCATCCTGACAGGCATAGGGGGGGGGGGGGGGGGACCATGGGAAATTGTATAAATATTTTTTTTGTATTCCAGGTGTAACTGTAACGCAAACGGACAGTTGGATCACGCAAGTTTAATTTGGCTTTTCAAGTAATTCACGAGAGAGGGAGGGAGAGAGAGAGAGCAAGGGATATGGGGAAATGCCCATCGTGCTCTCTGCAAGCAGTGAAAATAAGGGATGGCCTATTGACATTCACCGCTTGTTTTGTGGTTCAATGCTTATCAGAAGCAGACAATGCATATACACTTCGTATTTTGCACATTGCAATATCGCCAAGTCAGGGAAGCAAACATAGCGGCAGCTTTTCGTGATGTTCAAATGAGAACAGTGCCGCTGTTATTTGCCGTCAAGTTGATTCTTCAGGAGAGATAAACACCCCTCAATTTTAGATGTTATTTTTTCCAATGCAACTGGAATTCATGCTATTTTTCTAAATGTATTTGTGGAAATTTTTTTAGAATTAAAGCATCACGCGATGTCGCTTTTGTAACTCAAGAGATTGGCGCATTTATTAGTCTATTAGGTAGGCCACATGCAGTGGGTACAAGTGCGGACAACTGCCACCACTCACAACACGTCTATGCAGAGTGGAAGAGCAGGCCAAACACGCGATAGAAAGAGCTCTCTGGAACACCTTCTACTGGAGGCCATTTCACCAGCAATGGCATGAGCAAGCAATTGCAGCGCTGAACCTCTTCCAGCTATCGCTGTGTTTGCACCATTTTAACGCGTGTAACTGAAGCACATTCCTCGTCTGAATAACGTTCCCGAAATCTGCCTGCATGCGAGCGCAGGCTTATGCGCTTGGTACAACCTCGGGCTGTGATGAATGGCAAGATCACGTTGAGCCCTCCCTGGGGGAAGAGGTTGGGGGGGGAGGGGTATGTTGTGCACCCCCCCCGCCTCCTGTACTGGAGTGCGTTTCAGGGGAAGTCTTCTGGAGAAAGATGTTGTTGCGTGGCAGGGCGCGGGGCGTGTCCGGGCGCGGGGCGTGTCCGATTCACCCTCCTCCAAGTCATTGAGAATTTGGTTTCGGCAAGGCGGATCATTGGGGAGGGGGGGGGGGTACACCTCCTTGGGGGAGATCTTGTAGAATGATCGTATCGATGGGGTAGGTCAGTTTAATACGGGGGGAGATCTTGTAGAATGATCGTATCGATGGGGTAGGTCAGTTTAACACGAAGGCTTTCGTGAACAATATCATCCATAATACAGGTATTTTTGGGGGTTAGATCGCGTAACTATATAAATGTGTCGTTAAACCCGCCACCACCCGACACAGACAATTAGTAAGGTCTGTAACGTAAACAGAACATGCCATTACATTGCTCTCCAACACACCGGTGTGCTGTACTAGTAACGAATTGGCACGTTCGGTTTACGTGACAAACCTTACTAATTGGCTGTGTCGGGTGGTGGCGGGTTTAACGACACATTTATATATTTACGCGATCTAACCCAAAAAAACCTGTATTAGGGGTAGGTATAAAAAACGCACATATACTTTAATAGTTGTCCAGGCACCAGTGATATTCCAAAAAAAATGACAAAGCGCACACCTGGGTTTGAGCAAGATGCCCCGCTTGTATCACGGTGTTGCTTAACAGAGTGGTCCGCGTGGAATTAATTTATACCATCTGTCCGAAAGCAGTTCAGTTGAGATAAAGCGAGGTGCCACGTACGGCAACTTCGTAGCCTTAACATTCAAGCAGACACGAGATTACCAAATCTACCTGCAGGTTTGGAGGATGCCAATTACAGAAACACGCTTTCCCTGCTGCCATTGGCAAAACTGCCCAGAATACGCTCCATCGTATCAAAGACGGTGGTCACCTCATCGCACGCTTTCAGATGCACTTCTGCGGCCGTCTGGAACGCTCTTCCTCCCGATATTAGGAAGCCACTATGAGCTATGCACTTTTACATATCGATTGAAAACTCATTTCTTTAGAACTGCTCATATGTGAGCAGTTTGTTGTCCTTCGCACGCGTCTCCGATTAGCGCGGTTGGCTACGTACGGTGCGAAATAAGTTCAACGTGCGTACTGATCCCGCACACTAAGCAGGGTTTGGGCCCGGACAGTGAGTGCTTGGATGGGCGAATACCATGCACAACAAGGTAGCCGTCAGCTGTGGGGCTATGTCGTGGGCAGCAGTGGGCAGTGCAGAGAAATCCATTGCTGTGCTGTGAATCCATGGTCATGCATCTCCCTGCCTCCACCAATCCAACTTGAAGTACGGTCGCATAACTTGTATGACCCGCACGGTTTAGGGGAAGCTCACGTCCAGCGGTGGATTAACAATAGGATGTACACCTTCCTGTTAAGACATGGCAAGGTTTCTGTGGTGTGTACAGGAGATTATCCTCCAATATTCTCGATCAGCTGTGTTTCTGGTGTGTGACGCTATCGATGCGCATTTAAAGTTGCATTTTCAATTTAGGTGCATAGTATGGGCATTCCGAAAGAAGATATGTTTGGGGAAGTGGTGGCGCGGTAATTAGTGCATTGCACTATGAACCTCGTGTCCTGAGTTCAATTTCCAGTCACGTATAACATTAGTGGCGAGCGATAATCTTAGATGACTCCAGGGCCCGTGAGCTCCTTCACTAGCCTGCACTCTGACCAGTGTCGTGCAGTGGTTTGACGAAGGGCTGTAACATTATAGATTGAAAACTAATTTCTTTCGAACTCATTTTTCGTGTTTAGTTTTTGTCCTTCCCCCGCACCTCCGATTAGCACGGTTGGCTATGTACGGTGCGAAAGAAGTTCAACACGCATACATAAACATCTAATATAGTTCAACACAGTACATTATTTTACGACCAAAGGAAGATTCATGGATTCATAGTTTAGTCAATGGGTCGAAAAATGTATTTCACAAAACTAGGCTTGCAATCCAACATTCCCAGTAGAGGGCATTCTTACATTTACTCACATTAAAGGCAACGGCAATTAGGTTACTATACAAGATTACCACGTTGAGATTAACTAAATTCTAAAAAAAAACACCAACGCGATCTTTAGATGATTAAAGTAGAGATTGAAACGGCATTCAGTGCGTCACGTATAAACGCAATACACAAAACGTTAATGAAGGATCATCCACTTTATTACTCATTCCTTGGCACTTAAAAAATAAAGTAAAATGAACAGGTTAAATCCATCGTTTTAAAATATTAATATAATCCTTGGTGATTATGCACTATTCCCTTCATTTGATTGGTCCGGGGAATATTTGTTGAAAAATAGTGATGGAATGTTCATTTTAAATCATACTGCTGCTTAACTGGACAAGCAAGTGCCTTTGAAACAATGGCGAAAGTGTGTTTGGCAGTGGCATTAACAAATAATAACATACACCAGAATATCTTTGTTATTATGAGAGGAAAAAAGAAAGCTCTCTATTCAAACTTAAGTGACGGTGACGACGACAACGACGACGATGATGACTCAATACCTAAATGTTCCGTCTAAAAATCAAGCAAGGATTTCGAGAGCATTGTTTATTAAGAAAGGAGAACATTTCAAAAATCGCTGAATTTCTTTTCCTGCTACAACACGTAAAACGCACACAGTACATCCCTACAAGCAATACATTAAATACAAAGCTTCTGCACATTATGCCAAGCATATATTTGTATTTTTTTCGTAATTTTTCTCATCGTTTTTTTTTAATGCTACAACATTATAGAAGAAAACATCAAGATTGCAAAAATTCTTAAAATCATATACCCGGTGGTAGACATAAACGGTGACGGGTGCTGTATTTAGTTTTTGTTCTATCTCTCTGTAATTAGTTTTTTTTTAAACCATTCGCAGTGCCAACCATCGTGCATTTACCCAATGTCTGACAAGCATTTAAAGGTTAATACAAAAAAATACCGTCTCTTTTTTTTGCTCAAAGCAAAAAAACATTTGCTGGATAACGAACCGAAATCTGAGCACACTGTTTTAAACAGCAATGGAAAAGCGACCATCAAACAATGATTAAGCTACTGATAATGGCGTTTATACTCTAAAATTCATGCAACGTATTTTACAGCTAAGTGCAAAACTGTGAGGGTAGTTCATTTCAGAGAGGTTTGATCTAGTCTGAGGTATGCATTCTAAAAAAGAGATGTTATTTAAAGAGTAAGGTTTTTTTTGGAGGCTGTAGTAATATTTACAAAATCACGTAAAGTTGTGATGCACGTTTTCACTCTGCCTTCGTTTGATCGCACACAATTTTTGATGCGTCCCTGTTTTGAAAAATACATTTTTTAAATAAGTTTTTTTCTTTTTGATTCCTTTTTATTTTTTGTTAAAACAATTTCACTAAGATTCTATGCTTTTTTTGCGAATGCCTTTGAGAAAATGACATTAAAAAAACGCTTAGATCTGTAAGTGCTAAGAACGTATTCCCATCTCACACCTTTAGAATACCCAATCATGCACTCAATGCAAGTGTTCTGGGCAGGCAATGTCTGGTTGTAGCCTCGTACACACTGCTTCACAGACAAATACAAAAACAAATCTGAATACAATTTGAATCTGAAACACCTAAACACATCCTTGAGTACTCACAGAAAACAATCAAAATATATAACCGTTGAGAATGTATTAAAATATTGAGGAATGAGCAGAAACCACTTGGGCCACTGAATAAAAACTGGAATCGTGACCTTGATTAAACTATTACCATTGTTTCACAATTTGTTTTTATATATTTCAGGATTTGTTTTGCTCAAGAGGGCTAGGGTGATGATTATAGGGTTTGGATGATATAGAAAGTACGTGGTCTCGATTTAAGCTTATACAACAAAGGTAATACTTTTCTTTTTTTACACTGAGCCTGCAACATTGGTGCAATTGGTATGACGTCTAGTGTTTAAATAGAGGGGCTATCACGTAGTGCTGTAGTTTTAAAAATAATAAAGCATGTGTTGCAGTCCATTGTGTCGTTGCTTTTTCAACACTGCAAATAATGTTAAAGAATAAAAACTTTGGTTCAATGATACATCAATTAAGCCTGGCAACACACTTTTAATGGCAAAATACCCAGTCCCGTTATGAATTAATTTATCATCCGTGTGTTCATTTGTTCCTCTCGTTTAGTTTTTGGGCTAAGTCATTAAAATAACAAACAAAATATCTTTGGCAATAAAAAAAAGAAACACCGTAGGTAATTTAGGGAAGCAATTAAAATAAATATTAATGATTACACTGGTAGTATAACTACAAAGCACCTATTTTGAAATAAAATACCTTTTGCCGGTGGTATGTTGAGGTCAGCTCCGAGGGAGGTTCACGTTTTACCATTTTTTTTTTTGGTTTTTCGGAAAAGAGCATTGGTCAGGCTAATTTACGTCGAGGTGACGTTGAGCTTCTCACGGCCGCCACTCCCGATGGCGGTGCGCTTCTTTGAACCGCGAAGTTTCACTTTGCCGCGTTAAAAAAAAAAAAAATAAACCACGCAAATAAAAGTCTCACGTTGATACATTGCATTTCGTGCCAAGTGGCATCGCCGAGGAGGAAATACGTCCCAACGAACATAACTTATTGTGTGTGTGTGTGTGTGACATTTGTAAGGGTTATTATAACCGTGATGCTATTATATACATTCCATCGGTCTCTGTTCACCATCACCGGCCAAACTCGGAGAACTTTTTTCACGTTGCTCTGAATATGTAACAAAACGTAAAGCAAATCACTCCCGAGGCTTCTTCGTGCATTCGCCCCCACACGAGCGATCGAATTGAGTTGAAACTTCTGACGGAGCAGATTAGATGGTTGTCATTGAGGAGGAGGAGGATGAGGAAGGGGATTTCGTTTCTTGATTTTTGTATTTTTTGTCGTTTTGTTTTAACATTTCCTTTCCTTTCATTTTCCACAAACAATTTGGAACACTACGAAAACCTTTGGTCTGCTCCAGCACTGAAAGCAAATGACTCCTTTCCATGAGAGAGGTGAGCAAGGTTGCCGAGGTATAAAGACACTCAGATAAATTCGCGGGCAAAAACCTGCCAAAAACCATTTGGTTCCATTTAGTTGGATTTGATGACAAAAATACATGTCAGACCTTCTGAAACAAGGTCAGTGGGAAGTTACTTTTTCTTCTGCCTGCAAGCTGGCATTATTATTTTTTTTCATTTTATCAGCAAGGCAAAGAGTAGCTTTTCAAACAAAAAATTCCAGCATTCTTTTTGCTAATTCAGGTCAACGACTGACAAGGTTTTTTTATTTGCGTCCCCTTTTCCCTTCGTCTTTGTTGCTCACGATAACTGTCCACATTTTTCTTGATAAAAAAAAACTATCGCACAAATACAGGGTGTTTCAACTGTCAGCAACAGTTTGTTTGAAAGCCAGTTCTGAACATTTGAATGGAGTAGCGTCCAACGTTACACAGAGTTTGCTTTACATTGGTTTCTTCTTCGTCCTCCTCCATATTTTTTTTTATATTCACAGTCAAAATGTTTTATATTTTTGTTGACATGTGCAAATGCTTCATTCTTCAGTTAAAGAGTTCGACAAATGCCCACATCGTTTGCAACGATGACAATATCAACAAGAGGAAATAATAACGGTAATAATATTTAAAAAAAAAACATTAAACTTGTGGCCACAACAGAGGCTGGCAATCTTACCAATGTCCTCATAATCATGGCATGTCGTTTCCCTGTATCGTCAGCTCTTTTGAAACGCAGTTCAGAGGACGCACTCGATTTGGGTCCACAGCCCCCTGTGACGTCCCCCAAGGGAGTCTCCTTCGCGAGGCCGTCATTCCATCTCCACCATGAGATTGTGGTCGTCATCGAGATCCCTGTCGTCCTCCAGATCGGGGCTCTGGCTTCCCATCGCCACCAGTGACAGGGGGCCATCGCATTCCTCCAACGGCTCCTCCTTGACGTTCGTGGAGTGTCTGTTGAAACAAAAGCGAGGGCTGGTGTCACTGTTAACACGAGGGCAATCGTGGTCATCGGGAAGGTCAGTGTGATTTCTAGCAGTTTATGCAAATTGGGGGGGAGGGGGGGTAATAAAATGATGTCGTGATATTTTTTGTTGGGGATGGAAAAGAGCCCGTGTGAAAATAAATGTTTCCCCCCCCCCACCCACCCATTCAGATTTTCGTCAACATAACTAATGAGACAGATTTGAATGCGGGGTGTCCATAAAAGTATTATCCGTGATTATCCACGAACAACGCTAACAATAAAATCGATAACATTTTTTGTTTTCATTTGACTCGCATACACAATGGGTCTCGCACTACAAACATCATTAAAGTGTCAATAGGCAAAGATTTCCCGAGACCACGAGGTGAGATTTTTATTATTTTTTTAGTTTATAGACACACCTCGAGCTCGTTTGAATTTCCATCGAGCTCGCAAAACAAACTCTTGACATCTACCGACGAAACAAACTCTTGACATCTACCGACGAAACAAACTCTTGACATCTACCGACGAAACAAACTCTTGACATCTACCGACAAGGGCGAGTTTTTTTATTTCTCGCAAAGCAGCCAGCGAGCGCCTGCGCCGGGGATTCCGGCATTTGCGAGCCGTCCCCAAGGCACCAAATGGGCTGGGGCGTTTGAAGCCCCGAGGCAGTGCTCTGCGCTATTATTATTATTATCAGACGCTATCGGCAAGTGGCAACAACTAATAAATTGTTCACTCCGCGACAAGAGGGCTCGCGCTCTTCATTAGCATGCCACGGACCGGGGCTCGCCGCCCCATCAGAGACAGAGGAAACCCTGACAAGGTGATCCGACCATTAATCAGTGTCACGCTACCACCGCTCCCTGGGACGAGATGATGCATGTTGTTTCTGCCGCAGATTAATGAACATCTTTTAGCGGCGTGGCAGTGTGCGGCGAGGGAGCGGAACCCAGTGGCGAGACATCACCCGACGCGGCAGGGAGTGCGTCAGGTGACAGATATCCGTGCTTGCGCGCGTGTGCGCGCGCTTGCGTGCGTGTGCAGTTGAAAATGAGATGGCGTCATATTTATAGCAACAAGGGAGATGATGTGCATTGTGGGTGTGTGTAAGGAGCGTGATCACGCACGCACACAACACGTCTTGTACCCACTGTAATGATAAATACGGTTGATAATTCCTTTGGTGAAAAAAATAATGTTCAGAATTTTCTGCTTTCAAGGTGTTTTTTTTATAAATCAATAATTACCATAAATTGCATCAGGTTACCACCACCAATATCAGACACACAATTGTTACATACAAGTAAACGTTCTCAACATTTTATTTGTACCAGGACCCCACGGTATATCCTGCAGTCTTCAACTATTATTCACTCATTATCTCTGGCCTTTCTACGTGATATAAAGCTGGATATGCCACATGTTATATCATATACTATATACCCAGTAAACGTGCAACGATAGACTAACATTACCAAACGGTTGGAACCGTTTTTGGAACCAATGTTGACCCAACGTTGGACCAGCTATTTCCATGTTTATTGGGTTTATATTTCCTTTTAGGGCAGTGGTATTATTGATGAATGTGTCGAGTTTTGGTGACACGTACAAGACAGTGTTTTCGCTAGGTTGTTTATACCTACAGGCTATTATGTCATTATTCACTGGTGGCAGCAGGGGAACTGTAATGGGAAGGGAAAACACCCCGTGACAACCAGGGGTGAATTCCGCAATGAAAGCCCTACATTATATGCTTGTATGGGATGCAGGTGTGGAGTATTTATAAGTCCATTCACTGAAGTTATTTTGGGCTATTTCTCGTGTATTTGTAGGGCTGCTATGTTCATCACCATTCATGCGGTCCAAAAAGCCAAAGATCCCCCGTGTAGCCTTAACAGATTGTCTAGGGGCAAGTGCCGTCGCGAGCACCTATGAAGGCCGGCACGGCGCACGAGGGGATGGGTGGCAAGCACCACATCCGGCCGCCTTTGTCTTCCTAGTGACGATGTTTACACACCGCACCAGGTACTCAGTTGAGGTTGGGTCAACCTTGGGGAAGCCCAGGACCGGTTCCGATAATCGTCACTGGTGTTGGCCATGAGCGGGAATCGAACCCGAGTCGCCAGATTCGTAGTGCAGTGCGTTAACCACGACACCACCGCTGCACTACTGCTTATGTGGTACAAAGACAAAGATCCCCCATATAGCCTTAACAGACTGTAGGGGCAAGTGCTGTTAGCGAGCACCTATGAAGGCCGGAACGGTACACGAGAGGGTGGGTGGCCAGCACCACGCCCGACCGCCTTTGTCTCCCCAGTGGCAATGTTTACACACCGCACCAGGTACTCATTTGAGGCTGAGTCGACCTAGGGGAGGCCCGGGACCGGTTCAGATAATCGTCAGTGGTGTGGGCCGTGAGCGGGAATCGAACCCGGGTCGCCAGGTTCATAGCGCAGCGCGCTGACCGCTACACTACCGCTCCCCACACACACACACAGACACCCTATTCTAGGAATGTTGAGCTTGTTTGACGAGCTCGAAAGTAAATGAGCAAATCTGAGCTGTTATATCAATTGAAATGCACAGAAGAATGAATTACCAATTAATTCACGAGATTATATAAACACGACTCATCTGATGTCTGAGTTAGCATGACAGCACAATGATTAAAGCATTAAAGAGGTCCTCTATGATTTTGAAACTAATGACAACACTGCAAGATTCAGTCACCCGCACACGTACAGATTTTTACCCTCCAGAGGTATGCACAGCTCTGCAACACTGAATTTAGTTATGAAATTGAGGGATGTTGGGATCATCCGTTAGAAGTCATTAGTGTGATTGGCACAGTGTTTATTGCTTGTGACAGCTATTATAATGATTATGGAAGTGCGGTTGCATTATGTTGCTTAGACGTATCAAGATAAATATAGCTCACACTTTAAGTTGCTGCTACTTTATCCTCTGGGAAGTGTCAACTGTAAAATGTGACTAGATTATTCTGATCTGACAAGCCACATTAATTAAGTCAAAGCAATGAACGGCGCAAATATCAGTGAGTTATAAATAATATAAGTTGCCAGTTGCTAGCATTTGAAACAACGCTCCTGCATTATTTCGCACACGACGGAGCCAAGGTCCTGTCTGATACAAAAATACATTGTCATTTTTTTGTTTTTAAGCAACACAATGCACAATTCATAAGGCATAAGCAAATAAATTATCATAATTATTTCAGTAGCTTAATTATCAACAACACCGACTTATTATTACATATTTAAAAATTTAATGTTTACAGCTCTTGCTACCATACTACCCAGCACTTCCCCCACCCACTCAGGCTACCGCCCGATGTTTTAAAACGGGGTTAATGATCGCGGGTTATTCTAAAACAACAAGGCACTCACACACCTGTACACTTTAATTGCAGACAAATTGAGGTCGCTGCTGTTTATGAGCGTGCACGGGCGAGTATATATTTTAAGCTATTTGTGTGGCACACAAACAGGGCTGGTGACAGGAGCCAGCCTAGGTTGCCCTCGTGCCAAGAACGGTAATCCAATAGCCGTTAAAGTCATTTGCAAGTGGGAGGCGGATAAATAATATGATGGGGGGGGGGGGCGGAGGAAATTGGGAACAAAATATATTTATCTTTTTTTTGCAAAGGATACAAAAGCAGCCACACCAATTGTCAAATGGCGTGCGCTGCAACTGCTGTGCTAAAAAAACAACTAAACTGAAGCTATTATAGCTCTCTTTCAGAAGCGACCTGGTCACAGATGACCTAAATGATAACTCAAAGAAGTGGCTTGTCACGTGGACGTTTCTCGCAGCCAAATACTCCTAAAAGCACGTCGATTCTAAATGTGGAGGGAAAATCCGGAGAACCCGGCGAAAAATGGACGGGGAGAGAAACACACAAACACCAAATGGACGTGTTGGCGGTACACCGGTGTGGCATGACACACCGGTGTGGCATGACACACCGGTGTGGCATGACACACCGGTGTGGCATGACACACCGGTCCTCATAAAGCAGTCTAAAAAAATAAACCTGACATTCGCCTTCCGACTGCTTTGCCATCACGAGAACTGACTGTTACGCACCACCCCGCAAGGTTTTCTGATCTAGGTTTTTCGAATCGCGGGGAAAAGAAATAATCATTGCGACAATTTCCTTTTTTTATATATATACATATACCGCGCACCACCGACCGCCAATACGTTCAAATGCACAACAGGCGTCGGGGGGCCAAGATGGAACCAGGCGAGGCAGTTAACATCCCGCCACCCTGCCACCGCCACGTTAATATTCACGTGCTCTGCGATGTAGGCGTTGGATGCCCAGCGCCGGCGTTAACGGCGCGTCACCGGTTACCGGCTTGCAAAAGGACACGGGAGGCGCCCGCCCCCCCCCCAAGGAGACAGCCAGGAGGGACGAGTCGTGGAGCCTCGCAGGAAGCGCCTCTCGGAGGGGTGGAAGGGGGCGGCAATCCGGGCGTCCACAGCGCGAGCGGCAATTGGAAGGCGCTCGCAATTTCCCCTCCCCCCCCCCCCCCGGGGGCTGGAACCCGTCGATGTAAATTGTCTCCCTTCCTTTGTAACCCCCTTTCCCCCTGAAGCCATCAGAGATCCTACGTCGATCTCTGACAGTTTTCCCTCTTTGCGCACGCAATAAATAATGGCCACGGATAAAACCGAGTTTATTCTAATTATTAGTACCTCGGAAAGCAAGCGTGAATGCCTTAAAAGTGTAAAAACAACTTTCTAAAATGTGTTTAATGCTGAAGAGCTTTTCATGAAAAAAACTGCCCGTTTGTCAATTCAAACTGGAGCTTGAGATGTGTCAATGTTCTTCAAATGTTACCGTTTCCTCAGGATCCCCACAATGTACAGTGATCTCCCGCTACATGTTTTTTAACCTTCCTGATCCTTCTCTCTGCTCTGAGGGAGGGTCATTTCCCAAAACATCAGCTCACTTCCATTATAATACAGTGTTATTGACAAATGTGGGGATAGTTCACACTTTGCAACTCAGTTTGAAGGTTTAATACGTCTGCCTATAACACGGCGGTCGCAAATAACTCTCATAAACACGATCCAACGTCAATACAATTTCAGTAAAAACTAAAAGTTGCGTTGACAATTCCCGATTCACTCTACGGAATATATTTTCGAAGGGTTGCCCAAAACTTTTCGAAACGAAAAAAACAAAACTAGCGCTAAAAGGATTTATTTCGCTGTCATGCCTTTTGAAAAGCAATCCGGAATCCACTTACTGTACATGCACCAGTCATTTTTATCCATTCGTTATGTTTGAGTGCGTGCTTTTGGAAAACTTAACTTAACAATGAAAATAACATACTGTGTTCTATCTGCTATGAACATATGGCAATTATTTTTTTCCATTAATTAAAAGTATGGAGAGACAACTGAATACAGTATTGCACAAAAGGAGCAGGGAGAGATGCATGCTTGGAATTACACCGAGAGATAGAAAGAGGAATGAATATGGATGGAACACATACACAGGTTCCTACAATCATTCAAAATGTTCAAAAAGTAAAGTTTCCTTGGGCAGGGCACGACACTGGATGGAATGATGGCTGATGGTCAAGAATAATAACGGAGTGGCAGCCTAGGAATGGATCGCCGCGCCGTAGAGGACATCCACCTAGAAGACGGAGCAATGAAGCAGCTCCCGTGCCAGCACAAGGCGGATCGTTACTCCGCACGATCGCGAAAGGTGGTTGCGGCGGCTTGGTGGGAGGCCTCCATCCAGCAGTGGATTGACCATGGCTGACGACGACGAAGACGACGACAACGAACGTGCAAATGCGATTCGCCGAGCTTGTGTGTGGGCCCGAGGGGGGAGGCGTGAGTGGGTGGGTGGGTAGGTGGGGGCGGAGTTAATGCATCCACACTCACAGCGCCTGGGAGGGCGAGTGCCTGGGGCTGTTGCTGCCGTTGCTGCTGTGCTCCAGGAGGCCGTTGAGGTCCTCGGGGGCAGTACCCATGAAGGTGGCCGCCGACGTCAGGGAGTTGCCGAAGCCGCCCAGCAGGGGAAGGTTGGCCTCTGCGAGCGCCGCCTGCATTCGAGGCGCCAGCCGAAGGGAGGGGCGAGTTGGGGGTATCAGGACTTGCATTCGCAGCGACTCGCTTGCTTGACCTGCTTGAGAAAAAAAACTCAACGAGGCTCATGTCACTTGACGTCTCGACTCGACCGTTTTCAACGCCCCTGCTGCAGTTTAGCCGAGGGGGACCCCCCCCCCACCGCCCCCCACATCGGTGACAGCTGTCCCTGTGCGACACAAGGTGGACACAGGACCAGTGTGTAAATAAGCATTGGTCTGCCAATAGGGGGCGGGGGGGGAGATGTTGCGACGTAGTTTTCCACATCTAATTAAATCGCAGTGGAATTGAACAAACCTGAATTTGGACCATTATGCCACCAGAAATGGCCTACATCATGGAATATTTAGCTTCCACTGTGAAGCAGACAGGGTTTAGTGTTTTGTCCTTCTCAGCACCTCCGATTAGCACGGTTGGCTACGTATGGTGCAGTAACAAGTTAAACATACGTACGTACATACCTGGTGCTACAGTTCCTAGGCCCGGGGAGACCAAGTCCGAGGGATAAGGGAACAGAAGATAAGCCCACCCAACATTTCCCACACCTCTCCGCCTGTAAATATTGGTCCGTAATAGTTGCGCAAAGTGAACGGCAATGTATATATATATTTTCCCCCACTGCAGCACCACGAATGTTAAAGAGCGTTACGATGTAGCTGCTGCAGTATTTATGTAGACATTGTCCTGGAGAATGAGTCACGATGCAAATGTTTCCGATCCGAGATCTCTGTTTGGGTCAATGGCAGAAATGGGAAATTTGGCCAAGAGCACTAACGTTGTATTTTTTTTTCTAGGAAAGGAAACTAGAGAAACCACTGGATATCCATGCACAACAGGGGGAGAAATTATAACCTCTACACAGAAAGGTGTCCAAGTCAGGAATCGAACACAGATCCTTAACTAAAAGTGTTACCACTGCCGCAATGAACTGGGAACGGGAAAACAGAACCAGGGAAAGAAGCAGACCCACAATAAAATTTGGAGAGATTACAGCACGAACGATTTGTCACTTATTTGAATATCACGGGATGAAGCGGGCTTGGTTAGCAGAAGATGGGAAGCAGTCTTGCCCAATGTGCTGCCAAGCGCAAAAAGGACTAAAACTTAAAGAATCTAATACTTATGCAGGAACGTATAATTATGAGAGGAAAATTCAAAACAGAGATGAATCCACATTTATATAATAAGAAAATATCACAAATAAGCCATGCGTACTCTTGTGATGAATTACCACACACCTTCCCGCTTGTCAAATATATCTGGCTTCATTAAAATTAACTTTTATTGAAAATATTATTATTTAAACCTCGGCATTTGCAATCATTCACATTACCACATTTTAAATTGGAATAAAAATGGTCTCCCAGCACTAATAACTCACGCGACTTGTAATTGACTTCTCATTATTACCGAAAACGCTGTGGTAACTTAACAACGAGGCAAGTTAATCGTTTTGAATGAGAACTATTCGGCTTAATCAAAGTGACGAATATGTGTAGGTAAATTTCACGACCAGTGGGTAAACACCCAAGTGAATAAACACATCCAGTGTTTACATTATCTAACCCAAACAGACACATATAATAGACCAAAATAATAATTAAAAAGCTAATATTGGCATTTCCCATCGTCCAAATGATATTCATGTGAGATGTTCATTTTAAATGCAAAACAAACTGGGTGATTTTTTTTCTTCCGCACTATCTTATTAAATATATGATTAGCACGACCGTGTGCTGGGGAAAATGAAGTTGAAAAACCAGTGGAATCATTCATACCCCCGTCACGGACGAGAAACGATGTTAACGCGGGCCGTTTTAATGATTAAATTTAACGAACTGACGAGTCAATGATTATGACAACTGTGATGATGACACGGCCTGATGTGGGATGTTAAATGCCGCCTCGTGTGCCACATTTTCGACTCCTCTGAAATCACTGTGGCACCAGAGGCCGCGATTCTATGCACAAGATGACCCGCGTGTGGAATGTGTGTGGGGGGGTGGTGAGCAGTAAAAAAAAAACTTTTTTCTCGCTGTTAGTTTAATCAAAAGTGCTCCAGTTGCATGAAATTTTCAACGGAGCGCTTTCCCCCGCATGCATATTTTATAGCAGTCTCGTCTCTTCAATCAAGGACATTTTCATAAGTAGCAGCTGTCTTTGCACATTATGTCGGCTAACGGTCAGATTACTGAAGAACGGCCCGTGCCGTACGAGCAAGACAAAAGCCATCGCGGATGCGTTAATACGACCAAATCAACGTCCAGTGACCAACGTCCTCCCCCAACGGGAGATTTACCCAGCCTTGTGCTATTGTTTGAATGTTTGAAAAAAAAATATTCTATAATGGTTTCGCCAATTCATGTGTCTATTTGAAAATGTATGATGGGAGGAAAAAAAATCCAGAGCAAAGTGAAGAGGCAAAAAATAAAACCCATCACCATTTCGTCAGCCACATCTTACAGTGGACCAATGCTGAATGCGATTAAAAATTAATAATTTGCCATAAGCGAAAACAGTAATGCAAATTCATTACCGTGGACATTATTAATATTCATGGAACTGTGTCTCGCAGTTACATTTTTTTCCCGAAATGAAAAAAATGTCCCGCATTAGATGAAATAATTTCCACATGATTTGTTCCACGAAAACATTCTCAAGGTAAAAATCCAGCCGACTGTAATAAAAGCCCTGCATTGTTGGAACATAATGGAGGCAACAAATGTTGTTTTAATCCCATTAAGATTGATGGCAATGCATTGCCTCATTATGGCTTGATTGGAGCACTGGGTGTTATAAAAACACTCCTGTAAAGACATCGGATAGCACACTCAATGAAAGTTAACTGGACTATTTTAGATGCACACGGTATTATTACATCGCTATTGTTCCATACGGTATTATGAACAGCGATGCTTTATTTGGCATGTAACTATGTTTCCCCATTAGCAAAAGAAAAAACCTATTCTCATTTTTCATGTCTCCATTACGTTTAAAACCATGTTTCACTTCCTTGTATCTTCTAAATATATACATACACACAAAAAAGAAAGACCCCCCCCCCCCCCCCCCATATAGCCTTAACAGACTGTTGGGGCAAGTGCTGTTAGCGGGCACCTATGAAGGCCGGCACTGTGGCACACGAGAGGCCGGGTGGCCAACACCACACCCGGCCGTCTTTGTCTCCCCAGTGGCGATGTTTACACACCGCACCAGGTACTCATTTCAAGCTGTGTCGACCTAGGGGGAGGCCCATGACCAGTTCAGATAATCGTCACTGGTGTTGGCCGTGAGCAGGAATCGAACTCGGGTATTCGGGTTCGTAGCGCAGCGTGCTAAGTATTGCGCTCCCGCTCCCCACACTGCACATAAACAAACACATGGACACACACGGGCATGCAAAACGCCCATCAGTTGAGTTCATTATCAAAAAGCCGAGCTTTGCCGAGTAACATTTTACAGAAATAGCTCATGCTCTAATAATAACGACAATAATAATTTGTTAGCTTAGCGCAGCCTCAGAATTAATAACCTTCTATGAATCACTTGAGGTTCCAAGCGCTTCCTGGGCACTGGAGAGGAGAGCACACGAAACATCCACAACTATGGCTTGTCAAAGATCAACCGGTGGAGTGTTTAAAAAAAAAGAAGCGTTAAAACATCCGATTGGCTCTAATGGTCATTAAAGTAAATGGTGCAAACCTGCAATTGCTTGCTCATGGCACTGCCGGCGGAAGGCCCTCCACCACTAGAAGAAGCTCTAGAGTGGCTCTCATTGAGAATATTTGGCCTTCATTAGACCTCCTTTGCCAGTACCAAAATGTAATAATAGGGGTTTTTCCCCTTTTTTCTGGCAACAAAACTGAAACCTTTTTTTACAAGGATTCATGTCTGCATTAACCACAATACCTGCAGTCAAATGCAAACAAAAAACATACTATGATAATGTATGCATTGTCCTTGAAACTGATTGGTCCACACCAAGGGACGGCTTTCTTTTGAGCCTCGACCCAATTGGGTCGAGGCTCAAAAGAGGCTCAAAAGAAAGCCGTCCCTTGGTGTGGACCAATCAGTTTCAAGGACAATGCATCATATATTATCATTTTTTTGTTTGTATTTTGACTGCAGGTATTGTGGTTAATGCAGACATGAATCCTCGTAAAAAAAGGTTTCAGTTTTGTTGCCAGAAAAAAGGGGAAAAACCCTATTATTATAATATTTGGCCTTCTCACTGGCTAGACATCTCCAAAGAGAGGTAGAGGAGGTACTCATACTTTTTACCCCACCACCACACTCCTACCTGCCGATCGACTAACTGTGGTGGAACCATCTACGCTGCTGGGTGGACAGAGGCGATTGATGGATGGGGGGGGGGGATTGAATAAACTCGCAAAATTGTTTCAACTGCTACGCTGGTATATAGAACCGAACCGGACACCTCCGGAATTGCACTGTCTTGAGAATGAAATACACCATGGCAATCTTCCTGATAAATGATAACAAACATTTTAAAAACACTGCTATCTGAATTCGGGTTGAGACGCTCTCACGGTTGAAAATAAACACATTGTGTATTTTTTTTTCTCAACCAATGTTGGCAGGAGGCATGCTTTAAACTGCTGGGAGATGGCCAATCGGTGAGACTCAAAATCCTTTTGAGTGGCTATGTCATGTCGCCAGACAGCAGTGAGTCAGGCATGCATGAAAATCTGGCCAATCACCCAGGAGAGATAGCCACCACGAACAGACACGCATGACCACCGGCCAATCAGGCATAGATATTTTTGATGGCCACAATAAGTCTATTCAAACAACGGGCTCTGTGTAATCGTGTCCAAACAACACACTGCAGGTGCAGCTATTCCCTTCACAAGTGTAGAATGAAAGAGTCGCCCAGTTGTGAATATGGTGATATGCAATATGTGCATCACATCACCGACTACTGCTTATTATACGCTTACACAGCGGGTATGGAAGCTTTACATCAAGCAACCTCTGATGCCACTGAATGGATTACCAGACTCAACGTGCGGCTATAATGTTTTGTCAGTTGATCTTCACATTTCATAAGACAGCGAGCGAGAGAGTCTTTCTAAATAATTTGTACTTATTATTATTGAAATCGCTAATAAATATCACCATCTTACAAAGGCGACACACATACCTGTAGTGTTGCATTCAGGGCCGCACCGTATCCCAGACTTGTCTGCATACTCTTTATTAGCGAGGGACTTCTGTTCACAACACACGTCACAGACACAAGGGCAAACAACAATCATTATTTCAATAAAAACACACTCAATTCCACTAACAACTGTGGCGCAGTGTGCTGACGCAGTGTCGCGGTAGACGACAATGGATATTGGCCGATGGTCAAGGATAATATATTGGAGCGGTAGCCAGGAAATGGAATCCATCTCAGAAATAGATTCACGGAGGAGATGGAGTGATGATATCAGTTCATGTGCGAAATTGATTATTGCATTCAAGGGTCGTGCCAGACGGCAGAGGTTCGGGGAGGCCTTCATCCAGCAGTGGATTAGATCACGGCTGATGATGATAATGAACTGACAATGGGAGATCAATCCAACGCGAGTTGATTGTGTTGATGGTGTGTGGTAGTCTACCATACCCAGTCATCTTCTGTGGCCGTCTTTTCTGGAATTCCATCTCATCCACGGTCCACACGGCTCCCTTTACGTTTTCCACACGAACAAAGCACTTGTGTAGACTCAGGTTGTGCCGAACAGCATTCTGAATGACACAATAAGAAAGCATTAAGATGAAAATACACATTGGAAATTGGTTCTCAATGCGCAGTAAACTGGGCGTGAAGGGATAGTGCAGTCTTTAGCACAGCCGTACTAGGAAACTATCAACCTGAGTTTTCTTCCTGGCCAATGCTAAAATAAGTGGCGAGTGATACTCGCATTATTGTTCACCAAGCCACACTGAATAGTGCGGTGAAATATGGTAACACAACCACAGTGATTGATGTGACCTGGGCCGGCCTTCGTCCAGCAGTGGATTGACAAACGGAAGCATGTTGTTGTAATATTGTATTACTTAATGAAATAAATGTTTATGAAGAGAAAAAGAGGATTAATCCACCTTATCATCCAGAAACAGAATTGAAATTATTTCTATTTAACACAATTCATATAAATACTTTGCACACACCCATTAAAGGCTATTCATGACCATTTATAGCCGGTAATATTTATATTACTTTGCTTTATAAGCTTAACTAATCACACTCACACTCAAACCACACACGTACGATACGCAGCTTTTAATTCTTACATTTGTAACATGTTTTAATGCAAAAACATTTTTTTATACGAAAGTATTTTTTTTTAAAGTACTCTTTGTGTTCACTTGTTCACTTTATTTGTGGCTTTCGTGCCTCATATCATGTGGCCAGGTCCCTTCTGAAAAAGAGCTGTATAGCTCAGTGGGCCTTACCTGGTAAAATAAACAAAAAAATTGTGTTTTATCTCAAGATGCCTTCCGGGCAACCCCCCCACCCCCATCTCTCCCCCCCAAACGTCGACGTTCCAGAGTTCTCGCCTGCTCCACTAAACACAAACGAGCTGGGCTGCGCTGAACGCGCACGACCTGCGACACAAACTGACAACGCAGGCCCATCAAAAAAGGCAAAGGCAGGGAATTATCTAATGAGCTCCCTTATCTGCGCAATGTTGCTCTCTCTACTTTGTGTCGTCGCCAAATCCGGGGCCGCAAGAAGCGTGGAGGAAGGCAGTGGTCCATCTTTGATCCGCGACGCTAGCAAAATGGCCCGCGCTGCGATTATGTCGCACTAACTGCTCAGAACGGCTGGTAATCCAGCCTCGGGGCTTAGCTTAGCGTCGCACTCAATATAGCGGAGCTTCATCTTTCTGTCCAGCCCAGAGGGAAAGAAAGTCCTGACCTTTTCCCGGAACAGCCAAAGAGCTCCGTCTCATTAGCATATAATGCATAACGTAAATGTAAATGAGGTTGCGGCAGCGCGGAGAGGAGGGAGAAGAAGAAAAAAAAAAGATTTGAAGGAGGAAAAAAAAGCGCCAACAAATTCCCGCTGTAGCCCATAATCGCATTATGATTATTACACAATGTTTGGCGTTGTTGCTGTTTAGTAAATGATCGAACTTGACAAAGTGTGGCGGACAAAAAAAAAAGACACGTCCCCCCCCCAAAAAAAAAAAATTTTGTTACTTGGGAAAATAAATAAATATGTGCCCGCACTTCTGCGCTACACATTTGCATGAGACAGACCACCCTTTGGCTGCTAGCATCCTCTAACGAGGAAATAAAAAAAAGGCAAGACTGAGTGGTTATAGTGCCTGACCCAGGTCCTGGTGACTTGATTGATCAGCTCGCCTGCGGCTGTGCTCTGCTATATGGCGATGTCCATGCAAATGAGTTGGGTTGAGAGCGACGGTGGGGGAGTGTGCGCAGCGCATCAGCCTTATGAGCATGGGCCACAACGGCTAGCTAATAAAGCATGCTAAACTGCATCCCCCCCCCCCACTCCCCTATCATCCAGTCCACACTGGCAAAGTTTAACCCTTCTGAACGTCTTCACGGTTTCAGTTTTTCTTGGCTGCCAAACCACGCCAAAACAACAACGAAAAAACGTTGCCCTACAATATTGCGGAAATAACCGGAGGTCGGCTTTTGAGTGCGTCGCGCCTAGCCACGAGGTCCGCTGTCCTCGTTCGGAGTACTAATGAAGTGCCCACAGACGAAACATTGCTGCGTGCTTTTGCATGGGGGGGGGGGGAGGGACTGATCCGCAAGCTTTCGATTGCTCTTCGGATTTCAAAAGGCGCTGTAGGTTAACAGAAACACGCATTGCACTATATTTCCCATCCGTTTAAAGCTCGCGATCCACATTTTTTCGTTTTGTTTTTACTGCATTAAATAATGGGTCCGATAATTACACGAAAAAGTTTTTAAAATAATTTGTCTTATTAATTTACAATGTTTTTCAGGATATGCTATTTTGCTTTTTTTAATGAGATGGTTGTAGCTGGGGCGTTATTCACATTATCATACGGGACTTAACATGACATGCAATTAAATTACATAACATGTAGCGGGAGGCATATTATTACATATTTATAATAACTAGTAACATTAAAGTGCTAAAATCATATTAACAAGAATGTAATACCAATACTATATCAATGCACATCAATCACTCATCATGTAATTGTGCCTCATTGTTTAAACGCCGGCGCTTGTTTTTCATCATTAAATTGATTCCGTTTCAAGAGCTCCATCCACCCTTCCATTTGCAACCCCCACAAAATCGAAGTTTTTTTTTGTAGACAAATGCAAATTTCACGTCGGCTGAAGTTACTCCGCCCTTTCGAAAGCCGCGGTCCGCGATCAGTCGCACCATCAGCTTTAAGTGGCGAAAAAAGGTCAATGGTGCTCGCATAAATACATTATAACAAAAACAATAGGGTGGACGACGGAAAGCAGCGTTTCTCACGTTGCCCTGCAGCAATGATCGAGGCAATCCTCCCCCCCACCCCCGCCTGCGTTAATTGGGCCTCAAAGGCGATCCGCTCTCAGCGCGGACTCAGCCCGCCCGCCATCCAGCCGTAATTACGGTGTCACAGACCTCTCAGATGCCAACCCCAAACGGCAGTGCGCTATTAATTGCACCAAATTAACCCTCTGCTTTCTGCGTTTCCCTTCGCGTTCCGCTGTCGTTTCGCTCACAAAAAAAACGCGACGGAGCCTCTGCGGTTCCGGGCCATCCGCTCGCTCGCTCGCCCGCTCGCCCGCCCGCTCGCCCGTCTGCCTGGGCCTCCATGCTAACCTTTGCCCGAATCGGGGCACAGGTGGGTGCAAATGTGACGGAAGTGACCCGCGAATGAAATGCTTCGGCTGCGGTTGCCGCGCAAGGGTCGATTGTTAATTCATTAATTTCTCGAGATTAAAAAAGGGCCCCACTTTGGTGCGCGGGGATCTAATTAGGTGGAGGCCCTCTGTGGGCGCCTTGGCCTCTGAAGGAGTGGCACGGCTTGTGGAGCGCTGGGTGATGAAACTGTTAAGCATGTGTCACAAAGAGGCAATAGGAGCATGGTTCCAGCCATCACTTCTGGAGGAATGCTTGATAGAAAAGTGAAAATGAGCTCCGAGACCAATAATCGCGTTACTACCCGCTGACAGATATCAAAGGGGGTGATATCTATCAAGGCAGAAGAAAAAAAGTAATTTTGCTTACTGTGTTAATTTAAACATGATACATCTGGGTCAATTTTAATGTCACAGTACTGTCAACTCCAGAAAGTATCTATAAAAAAAAGAATTTTGATTTTTTGGCATAGTTTCATATACTGTGGCTAACAAGTTTCGGTACAACAACTTTATATATTTTTTGTATATGTCAAAAAATGAAACACTGAAATAAATTCATGCATTGCCGTTGATAACATTTAACCCGTATACATATTGATACATATGCATCCACACTTATGGATATTTCCATTCTTGAAATGCACAAAGACACAAACTCTGTAAACATAGACATTTTTATAACGTTTTTTTCAGAACCTTATAAATCCATTTTCAATCCACTGCTAGTTGAAGGCCTGCCCAGGCCCATGAGGTTATTTCACCATACCTCACTCGTCTGAGGTTGGCAAAGTGGTGGCGGGGAGCGCAAGGCCATTTCAGATATAAAAACTAAAAGAAACTCTATCTAAACTCTTTTTAGTTTACCAGGCAAAGCCCACGTGCTATATCGATCTTTTTCAGAAGTTACCTGGCTATCACAAACGATGGTGGCTTTTCACATGGAAATTTATAGCAGCCAAATACTCTAAACGCTTGTTGATTCAAAACGTGGAGGGAAAACCTGAAGACCCGGAGAAAAATCCACGTACATGCAAACTCCAAATATACAAATGTCAGGGTCGGAATCGAACCTAGGACCTCCTGCATACCACGCAAGGGTGTTAACATCTCCCGACTGACATAAGCTGTAGCTGGCAATCTAATTCGGGTTGCTGGGTTCTGAACACAGTGTGCTAATCACTGCTCCACCACTCCCCCAAAAATAAGCCATTACTGTACGCTTTTTATATTATCATTCCAAAATAATTGCTATGTACATGCTAATTAACACAATTAGGACACTCAATTAAAATAATATAGGATCATTAACAATTCTGTTCCCAGATTATTTTTTAACAAAAACCCGCTTGACTTAACACAAGTAAACAAACTGCGGAACAAATGCAGAATGGGAAAAACAGCAAATACACAGCGCAACTCTGTGCATGTCACTTCGGTTTATATCAGCCCTCGGCTACAGTCTCAAAATCGTGACATCGGGGCAAGTAGCTTCGATGCTTCTTAAAGTTTACTCCGCTTAATGTCCGTCAGGCTGCAAGGATTTTGAAATCCTACCGGTATGACATTAAAATGGGCTCCACAGACTGGAAGTTTAACACTGACGGACTGTGAGATATTTTTTGAAGTCTGTGAGCAAGCAAAAAACAATAAACATTTACGTGCCTTGATTTTTTCAATAATACTATTTCCGTCTATTCGGGCACTCTCGTTGATTCGCGTTTAATGGAAAGCGGAGAGGAGCATTGTGCTTGGCAGGGATTTACTTGCATAAGGGATCACCTTTGGTTATATTTCAAACGGCACTTCCATTAGGCGTGCTCTGTTATGCTGCGCATTCTCAATAAGGGTCCTTGACCCATGTTTACACCTGCAAAGTACGT